TGTAGGTTTCTGGTTTGTTTGGGTCCTATAATTGAAACACTGTTTCAACTCCAGCTCTGAGATCCTGGCTGGCTGAAAGCAGGTTTCTGGGGTTTTGTTTAGCTTCTATATTTGTAGCAATGTTTCACACTGCAAGCTCAGAGGCCGGAAGGCAGGCGGGGGAACGTTGGGTTCCTCCATCACTGAAGCAAGCAAGCCTCATGTTCAGTTTAAGCTGCCTGGCTGCCTGCCGCCATCTTGGCTGGCAGTTAATTTGCATATCGCCCTGATTAGCCAATGGGAAGGGTAGCGGTCGTACGCCAATTACCATGTTTCTCTTTTATTAGATAAAGATATTTCATATTTAAAATATGTACACATATTTTCATCATAGTTTAACATCTTTTACAATTGATGGCATCTTAAACTTGGCAGTGCTTTTTTTTTTTCTTTAATAATGGTAGTCTAATAAATATATGGTATTTTGGATCCAACAAAATACTGTAATTTGTAAGGGGGGGGGTAGGCAGTTAAGGCCTTTTACCTAGATTAGTTATTAGAGCAAATAAATTCTAGTAATCACTTGTAATGACCTTTGGTATAATAATAATGAGATCACCATGCTAGAAATTGAATGCTTAAGTGACTTCTCAACTTTTCACATGTAGAGTTTCTTCTTAAATGTTTTCTTTTGCAATAGAAAATTGAGGGCAGAGGCAGATAAATGTAAATAATTTTTGCTGTGCATTTTTTTGTTTGTTTTTTAATTTTTATTGATTTTAGAGAGGAAGGGTGATGGATAGAGAGAAACATCAATGATGAGAGATAATCATTGACTGGCTGCATCCTGCATGCCCCCCACTGGGGGCATGCAACCCGATATGTATCCTTGACTGGAATCCAACCCAGGACCTTCAGTCCACAGGCCAATACTCTATCCACTGAGCAAGACCAGCTAGGGCTGCTGTGTATTTTGTGTTACCAGGGAGAGAACTTACTTTAGAAGCATGTACTGGGGAAGTGAAGATTCCATTCCATCCCATTGTATTAAGAATATAACAAGCTGTTCGGCCTCTTTGCTAAATCACTATATAAGACCACTAACTTAACTACAGTACTAATGTTCTGTATTTTATCCCCACATTTCAATGGGGATAAAATAGAGAGCCACCATAACTTGTGGGGGGGGGGACTATTACTGTATATCTTTTTATATCTTTCCATGCAAACTAAAAGTTTAATTTTTAAACTTGGTAAAGGAGACACATTAAAAGAATCTTAAAACTATGGAAAACAGACTTGGGGTCATTTTTCCACCAGCCTGGGTGCGTGTCTTTGTAAACAGAGTGTACCACACATGAATCCTCTGTCTCAGTGCATTGTTTACTGACATGAGGTTTCAGGCTTAGAGGCTAAGAGAGAACCCATTTTATTTCAGCTACTTAATGAAAAAGCAGGCTACTTTATATTAGGACCAAGATTAACATTAATGTTGCACTCTCTCCATACTGTAGCATTTAGCAATGGTAAGAATGGATTTACAACATTTAAAAAAGGCTAGTATTCCTTAAATAGTTTTTTTTGTTCTCTATATATAACAGATATATATATATATGATGTGCCAAAGACACGCGTACTGATTGCTTATATGCTCTGTGTTAAAGAATACTGAAAATATTCTAAGAATCATTACACAATGGCAAATGCCAAGCAGAAATAGAATTTTAATCACCAGTAAAAATTATTTTTAATGCTTTCCCACAAAGAAGATACTGCATTTTAGCTATTTGGTTTATTATTAGTATATTATACTGTGTGCTTATATTAAATGTGTGTGTGTGTGTGTGTGTGTGTGTGTGTGTACCCAAATAAAGCCTTAAACATAATTTTGACCTAGGAAAGTATTTTGATTGTCTACTTTAACGTTTAGGAAGAAAGTCTCTTCAAAAAATATTGAAAATAAGGTCTTTTTAAAGAATACTGAAAATAGAGTATCTTCAAAGAGTATTGAACATAAAGATACAGAAGCAAATCTACAGTCAAAGCTATGGTCAACTTCCTTCTTAAAAGAAAGCAAAGGTAATAACAATTGGTTTTGGGTTTTTTTTAGATCAACTGTTGCTTCTAATTGGCCTTCTTTCACCATGACCTTTGGGATGTTGACAACTCTGTAGGTTTGGGGAGGATCATGGGAATTGGTACTTTTTCAAATTGATGTAACATATGATTCTGATATGCAGTCAGGTGTGGGATCCATGGAAAAATATTATATGAAATGATAGTAATAGAGTATTAAATTTTAGAATAAATTAAAATACCTAATGAAAGCAAACAAGTTCCATTCATTCAACGATGGTTTATTGAGTCTGGTCACTGCTTTAGAAGCTGTGGATACAATAGCAGCAAATAGGCAAGGTCCTTGCCCTTATGAAGTTTACATTCTAGTGGGAGCCAACTAGACAGCCAACTATTAAAAATCAATAAACACAATAAAACAAATACAAACGAAAAAGCAACACAATGTCAGGTTGTGATGGATGTTACAATGTTAATAAATGCCCCTGGGAGAGGACTAACTTAGATCTAGGGATCAGGAAACCTCTCTCATGAAGCTCAGTGTGTGTTTGTGAATTAACTGAGGTGAGACAGTTCCTGTGACATCACACAGCCTTGAATTCCCTATTCTGATCTTTCCCTGATGACATCAGTGTGATGAGTCAATGAACAGGCTGGATACACACTGGGAGATCAGAGTGGCTGTGAGCTGATGGACACCATAAAGGACACGGAATCAGGTAGCCAAGCCACCCTACTTTTGGAAAGACTTTTTTAATTTGTGTTCTCTTAGCATTGTTTTCTCTTAAGCTCTCCTAGATTTCCTCATTTTCTCCTTTCTATACAAGTGTTTCTGTTATTTAGAGTAGCTCCAAAAGGCATCTCACAAGACTTCCCAGATATTCAAAATCTGACAAGAAAGGAATGATGTAGCACAAGTTAGTGTGAAACAGAGAGATATGCATAGAGCCAAAGGAGTCCTATAAGCTCACTCAATAGTGTTTCCCAAAGAGATACATTTAGGAAACACATAGTAAACTTTTTTAAAAAATTAATAGTATTATATTTTCATGTGTGTTGGGAAAAATATTAATATAAGATGTGGTTAATAATATGGCCCTAGCTAGTTTGGCTCTGGATAGAGCCTGCAGACTGAAGAGTCCTGGGTTTGATTCTGGTCAAGGGCACATGCCAGGTTGCAGGCTCAATCCCTAGTAGGGGGTGTGCAGGAGGCAGCCAATCAATGATTCTCTCTCATTGATGTTTCTATCTTTCCCTCTCCCTTCCTCTCTGAAATCAATAAAAATATATTTTTAAAAAAATAATAATAATAATATGTTCTCTGGAGTCTAATTGACTCCCAGATCTACCATTTAATTAGCAGTGTGAAGCTGGGCAGGTTATCTAAACTCTCTGTCCCTCAGTTTCATCTATGCATGAAATAAACATAAAACCTCTTTGGGTTGAGAGAAAATGAGTTAATATATGTAGTGTTTAGAAGAGTAATTGGATATAATGTGTTAGGATTATTATATGTTACTTTTATTAATCCATCAGTTTCATGGATATTTATGATCTAACAAAGTATATAAGTTAAAAAGTACATTCAAAGGAGAATATTAATTAGTAGAGGTGATACATATATATATCTATATCAAATACATATATATATATCAAAATACATATATATATATATCAAAATGGATGAAGATAGTATAAGAATTACTGAAGTTTGGAAAGTGTTTCAATAGTTTGTACCATAGAGATTTTACCTCTTAGATATTTCTCTAACCTATCACTTATGCTCCATCCCTACTTTACCAGTGCCCTGTCATGTCTCTTATCTCGATTTTTAAAAGACAACTCTAATCTCTCCCCTTACTCTTTATTTTTGTCTTCCCTCAAATACACTTTTTACCATGCTCTCCAAGTTTTCCCTCAGAAGTGCAAAATTTATCATACTTGTTTCCTTACATAAAATCTTTCATTAGTAGCCCCTTCATTCTTAAGATAGTCCCCAAGGCTTCTGGTCTACAAGACTCTCCATAATCAATCTAGCCCCTACCCACACTTCCAGGCACATCTGTCACCATTTCAGCCTTAACCTTGACCCTTAAGCAGCATCACACACATTCTTGCTTCTGTATTGGTTCATGTTGTCCCCTCTCCCGGGAAAAACTGATCCACTCAGACTGGACAGCTCCTGACCACTCCCCAGACTGGCGTGTGGCACCCCTTTGTTCTCCCATTTCCCTAGCATACATCTTCATCACTGTTCTTCCATACTCTTTTATAATTCTCCATATGTTTCTTTTATAATTCTCCATATAATTCTCCATATGACTCCCCAGGTAGAGTTTTTGCAAGTACTCTCAGATCAGGGACCATTCATTTTTGTGAAACCGGGACTCAGCATAGTGCCAGGCACTAAATGGGTAGTCACTCAGTGGTGCTTAGTTTTAATTGTAGGATTATCTATGTTTGACTTAACATTAAGGAAAATCATTAATAATGTTATGTAACCTCTGGTTATATCTAGAATATTCCACGTGTGTTTCTTGTGTGTGTGTGTGTGTGTGTGTGTGTGTGTGTGTTGAGAGAGAGAGAGAGAACTTTATTCTCAAGTAACCAAGGAGTGACATGACCTAAGGAGGACTATTTGCTTCTCAGCCTCTCCAGCCTTACTTTTACTCTCAAGCTCTTTATTTTGTATTTACCTTCTATAAGAATAATTTAAGAAATATGTTTCTGGAGGTAGAATAGCATTAATTTCTTTTTTCTTGAAATTATATTCATATATATATACACACACATATTATTGATTTTTTACAGAAAGGAAGGGAGAGGGATAGAGAGTTAGAAACATCGATGAGAGATAAACATCGATCAGCTGCCTCCTGCACACTCCCTACCGGGGGTGTGCCCACAACCAAGGTACATGCCCTTGACTGGAGTTGAACCTGGGACCCTTGAGTTCGCAGGCTGACACTCTATCCACTGAGCCAAACCGGTTAGGGCGAAATTATATTCTTTATAAACAAAAAATATTTTCTATTTATTAAAATTTCAAGCACCAAACAGTTAACATTAGCATCAACTCATTGTGGGGTTTTTGGGTTTTTTCCTCTTTCATTTGACAGTTTTATTACCTGTTTTGAAAATGGGAACCAGTGCTGTTTAGTCAAGAAAAAATAAAACACACAAAACTCCAGAACAGAAAGCCATATAGGCAACATGTACGCTTGTTACATTGTCATTTAGGAGTAAGCATTTAAAATTTTTGAACTTTTTAATATTTATTGATTAATTATGTATGTTGTTTTAGGTGAGATGGGCAAAAATGAAGTCATTACAAAGCAGGAGAAAAATAATGAAAATTGCCTTCAGGTTATTGATGATAAATTGTCCGAGTCAACAAAAGATGATGGTGAAGATGACACCAGTGATGAAAGTAATGAAGACAGTGGCCCAAAAAAGGACATCCGTGCCCCATTAGAGTTAATGGCAGAAGTAAGCTTTACTTGTGCATTATAATTTAAGAATCTTAAAAATATTAAAATAACTATAAAATATTAAAATATTATATAGCCTTGAGGATTTAAAAAATAGTAAAAAGATCCTTGCCATGTACAGATGCTTACCTAGCTACTCATCTCTCTTACAACCTTCATCAAGGGAGCGGTGAGAGAAGATTTTAGAATTGACTGACAGTATTCTGGTAAAAGGAGCAGGAATAAGAGTAGATTTGGTATAAAACTCTTCTAGCACTGTTTAGAGGAATGCTTTGTACATAAAGCATGGGCACCATGCTAGTTACTGGGAATGTGTAGAAATAAAGACAGGTCCCACCTTTGAGACCTAATATGCACATATTATTTATGTAATATAATTTATAATGAAATATGTGCTAGTAGAAGTGTTTATGAAATTCTCTGGGAACAGAGGATTAAGTGAGTAATTAAGAAAAGAAACAGGAGAAATGGGATAAAAGGAAGAGACCTGAATACATCTTAACAACTTAAAGGAAGGAGGAAGAGAAGGGTAAACAAGAGGAGAAGGCATTCC